GGGGGATTTTTGCAACTTGATTTGGGAAGAAATGAGAACTCATGAGGAAATATACTGGACTGGGTCTGTAAGAGTTGACATTTTATTTTATTGCATTCCCTGTATGCTTGTCTAAGTTGATATTTCGTTTTATTTCATTCCTTCCTTGATTGTGTAATACGTCATATACGCGACTGGGTCTATAACAGTTAACGTATTGTTTTATTTCATTCCCTGCACTATTGTCTCTTACGTCCCCCAGGCGGCGAGGAATGCCCCATTGAGAGTTTCCGGGCTCAGCTTGGAGTGTCTTGCATCATGGCAAGCATCATGGTGATAGGCATGGCCTTTGTTGGATTCATTGTCATTGTCATCGTCTTCCTCATCCTCATCAAGCATAGGTGAGTTATTTTAAAGACGCTCAAACTCTCCATGTGTTCTTATTACAATATTAGACCATTGGTAACTTGTGAATTTGTAAAATTTTCTTGGGTGGTTCGGGGGGGTGGTCTTGTGTGGTTTTCTATTTCTTTCCTATCGAATATTTATCGTCCTGATCTCTCCTCCTTCTTTTTTGTGTATTTTTTTCGCTTGTAACAGCTCTAACTTTCAGCATTTATGATAAAATATTAATGTGACCTTATTGTGTTGTTTGTGCCGTTAAACTCCTGCTTAAACTAAAAAGTGGTAAATGCCCAAGTTTTAGTTCTGACGCAGGCTCTCTCTTTTTTAATCTATTTTCTCAAAATAAAAAAACCTCCCAAGGTAAGCACATGTGTGATGATGCTGATGATTTCTGCTGTCTTGTTCCTTGCCAAGGTGTGATGTCAAGATGAGAAAACTGCGAGCGGCTCACGAAAGAATTAAAGAACTGGGGCTGTTGAATGAAGAATACTCACACATTCTCACTGTGGACGACTGGGAAATCCCCCTCAAGAATGTTGTGGTCAACCGAGAGCTGGGTGAAGGGGCCTTTGGTTAGTATGGACAGTCGAAATTGTGAAAGACAGCCACCCATTGTGGAGTAGAAAAGTATTTGTCTTGGACTGGTGGATGTCTTGGACAATCCCAGTATAATGTTTTTTTAAAACAAAAAGGGGAAAGTGGGAAGTGGTCATTTGTCTCCAGCAGGTGGCCGTTTTAGCAGGTTCCACTATAGCTGTGACTTGTCTTGCTGTATTCGTGAGATTGTGAATCTAGTGAGATGTGACATGGCAATATGTGTGGTATTGTGGGGAAATCAGGCGCTCATCAGAGTAATGAAACCTTAGATATCAACATTTTTCTGCCCATAGTGCAAATTTTTATCAATTTTTTTTTAGTTGAACACCTTTGTTGTATATGTCGATGTCAAAACACATTTTTGTGTGGATGTTATTGAAAACTTGATGAAAGTTACCCAAAAAATGTAAATTTACAGATTCCAAGAAAAACTCAAACTTTGCAAGTCACCAAATATTACTACTTTTACTAATGGCACCAGGCAACCCTTACCTCCATTAATCGTAAATATATTGACTTGTATAGATAGATCAGTATTTTTTTTTTTATTTCACCAAAAGCAAGCTAAAAGAACAAGCTTAAAGATGATACCAGTAACTCCGCTTGACCAAATATTGACTAGCGCCAGATTTCACAGTGACTTGACACATGTGTTCTTACAGATGTAATGATCTTGCCAATTCATGCTTAGAGGGATACAGTAGAATCCTGTTATAAAGGGAGGGGACCGGTGCAAAACATCCGTTATAGCAGGATTCTCGTTAAAAGGGATCCAGTAATAAATTCAAGGGAAATAGTGCTGTAGGCCGAATCTATGAGTCTGGTTGTCTGTTCGTTTCTTTTTGTAATCTCCCCTGATGATGATTTGGTTCAACATGATCTCTAGGTCTTATTATTTGATTAAAAATCGAATAAGGTTTCCTTCTCTAGCGCAGGCGATGTTGACAGCTCGGCGTCGGCGATCAGAAATAAAGTTCTCGAGGCTAACTCGTCCGCTGTTGTCCCCCACCCCACCACACCCTGTCGTGCGTTCTGTCTGCTTACGCACGCCACACATTCGCCCCATCCATCACAGTCACATCGTTGTGACCTCTCAATCCTCGCATCGGAGAAGTGAGAGGCGTGGTAGGCCTAGATAATCTAGACTAGGCTGGCCTATCACGCAATGCGTTCTGCTTGTCTGTACATACCACAACCTCCCCACTCATTCACTCCGCCTTCATTGTTGGCACACATGGGCTCTCTCATTCTTTGTTTCGCAAGATCACAAGCAACGAGCGAGGTTTTGCAAGAATAAATGGCCTATGTGCTGTGCACAGACACAGCAATATTCCGCTATAACCGACTCGCATGTTTGTCTGATTGCGCTATAGCGGTATTTTATTTACAAAGATAAAGAAGGGGAAAAAACGGGGTTTTAGAATAGTGTCTTTATAACAGACTTTTCATTATTTCAGGACTCGTTATAAGTGGATTCCACTGTATAACATTCCAACGGAAAAACAAAGATGTTCAATTTAGCAAACTTTTCCACTTTGAAATCTCGCCTCTCGTTTTTTCCATGCAATGACAGAACCTATTAGATCACATATCCTTATGTAGTTGCGAGTGCTGTAAAACTCTTACTAAACTAGACTAAACACCACAGATGCTGGACCTAACAACGAACAATACAAGGAATTTTTACTTTGACCAAAAGCTGCTCTGATACTGATTTTTTTATTATTTAAAAAAAATGTATTTATTTATTTTACTATCTCTAGGAAGTTTTACACATTTGGCCTTAAATATCAGATAGTACTATGCAAGTCTACAGTTTGCTGAATGGCAAAATGAAGGGGTTTGGTTTGGTTGCTGTAATTAGAAATTAAATTTGTTCTGCTTTATTTGCAACTGTTGCCTGTGCTGTGACAGTTACTGTTGAAATTGTCTGAAATGGCTACCCATTGTTGAGGACAAAAGTGGTTGTCTGAGACAGGTGGGCGTCTCACAAAGTGTCCTTATCATGTACTAAAAAATTACTCAAGGGAGGAAATGGGAAGGGGTTAGTTTGTACATGTGTTTGTCTTGTACATATAGGTGGTCGTTAGATGTGGTTCAACCATATTATCTTTGTCTTGCATCCAAGGGATGTAACGTAAATTATCAAATGGAGAAGATAGTAAATTTGTTGTGCATCTCTCTCTTTGTGATAGGTCTCAGTCCACATCAGCCCCTCACGGGAACGGTTATCAGCCTGCCTCTTGAATAATCTAAGCTGTATCAGTGGGGATGTAAAATAATTGAAGGGGGTCAATTGAAAAGATATAGGCTAAGTCACATTAACTCTACCACAACTTGCCCTATTTTCCTGTTTTTTTTAATGATGGACTCTTCTTGTTCTTAACTTGATGTTTGGATCATTAACAACAAAAATCGGGGATCAATAAGTTGATTTGCATTTACAAAAATACAGTTTGAAAATGATGGTGATCGATTATTTAGGGGATATTCTACAGGTAGCCTGCAGTGTAAGATAAGGGCCAGGATCCTGATTTAAAAGAAAAAGAAAAATCTAGACTTATCACCTTTTTCTCTTGACCACCATGATTTACCATAAACTGTTTTGACATTTTTGCAGGCACTGTTATGGGAGGGGAAATGTACAAAGAAGGAGAAGGATGGGTTGCTGTGGCTGTGAAGACGCTCAAACTTCACCGCACCATGCAGGAAAAGGTAATGCTGAATTATCCTCCCCAACTTCTAAACTTTGATGTATTATGGTTTTGAATTTCCTCTTATTCTTATTCTTGTCCCTTTCCTCCTTTTTACTGCTCCTCTTCCTTCTCCTCTGCCTCCCCCTCCACCGTCTCCCACCCCCATTCTTCTTTTTGGATTGAAATTCAGGGTTAGTAATTGTATTTTCTTTACTTCACGGTGCAAGTGATTTTTATTTAAGGCATGATGCGGGGGAAATTTTGAAATTCATTAATAAGAAGAAACTAAGCTTACAAATATGGTAGCATCAACATAAATAGAGTGGAGAATTGGGCCAGAAGTAAAATTTTGAAAAAAAATTTGTGTTGCTATGGTAACGGCTGCCATATTGGAATGTCATATACAGAAAATGTATACATTTCTAAAAAATCTATCATAAGGTTATAAATGGCACCAAATGGGTATTTTATGCGATTTTGTAGCATACTGTGGCTGTTTTAGTGGATAAAACTGGCATTTTTGATGTAGGAAAAGAAAGTTTTTCAGAATCAAGGTTCAAATTAGGGAAACATTTCAACCACAAAAAAGATGGAGAGTGGCAGCTGATAAAATCTGTAATAAAACCATTTAATTTTGGTCTTTTAAAAAACTCAGAGCTTTATTCACTAGAATAATGTTTCAGCTATCAATGTACCAAAAATTAGATAGATATCTTAAATACTTTTCGAATGATAGATTTTTTCCGATTGCGACCCCCTCAAAAAATTTAATTTGAGAAAATGGACGTCAAAATTTGGCTTGCAAAACGTATTGAAATAAAATAGTCATACGCTCACATTTATTACTCTCAATGGCTTAGATAATAATAATTATAATGAAGATCATTTCTACTGCGCCCACTCCCGTGTAAACACATCTCTAGGCGCTTTACATAAATGCATGTACGAACAATATTCACGCACGCGACACACACACGCACACACACACACACACACACACTAATACACACACACACACACACTAACACACGCACATACAAACACAAACAACCCACACACTCACGCACACATTACACACACACATATGCCCACACATGCACAACACCCCCCCTCCCCCCACACACACGCACACACACACACACACACACACACACACACACACGCACAAACACACACCTACTTGCTTATCACATGCGCACGTTTACTCATCGCTACTAAATGAGCACATACACATACATAATAAAATAATATACACAATGCAATTTGAAAAATACATAAATGGATACATGGTCCTTTACATAAAATTGTACTGAACATGAATCTACTGACATAAAAATGATGCTAAGATGTCTCGTCCACTATGACGGTTCACAGATTGAAGGCCCCTGCTTCATACAGATCACCCTCTGCTTGCTGTCTCTTCTTCTCAAGCTGAAGTCGCTGTCTCTTTCGGTCTTTGCGACCCCATTTTGATGCGCGTTTCCTGCACTTCATGTCACTCTTTAGCTTGTTACCGGTTTTCCTGGCTTGGTGCTTGTGGTGGCTTCCTCCTACTGGAATGTTCAAGGCTTCCAAAATGACGAAGAGCCCAGAAGGACCACAGTTAAACGCCAAGACTGAGAGAGCTGTTGCCGTTTCGACAGACCACAACGACGCGAATCGAGTTTTGGTGCAGCGTGACCAAATCAAAGAGTTAAAGCACTCGTTGGCATTTTGCGTTTGCATGGACGCACATCGTTTTAAAACATATGGTCGAGTCAGTCTCTCCACAACTGGCCACACAAATTTTGCAACATCCTCTGTTATGGTTGGTGTGTGCTTGCGCGGCTCCTCTTTCATTGCCAAGGCTCGTTGGAAGTGGCACCATGAACTGATGCCAGTGGGGCAGAGATGGTGTTGTGGGTTGTCGTCGGTGCTGAGCATGTGGTAAATTCCACCATAGACATCACTCTGCATTTGCTCTGTGTCGGGTGCATTCTGCTTTAAGTTTGTTGCATATGTGTTGGTGATTTTTTCTATCTTTGTTTTCGTGAGTTTTCTGTTCAGTTCTTTCTTGTTGCTGTTTTTGGTATTCTCTAGGGCGTTGAACATACGTTTGCTGATGTGATTAATACAGTCTTCTTTTATGACTTCAAAGTCGTATATTCCTTTTGTGTTGATCAACTGGTGAGGTCTGGCATCTCCGTCACACAGCATCCTGCTGTACACAAGACCACGGTGCTGGACTGATCTTCTGAATATTGTTACTGCTGCTGCAGCCTCCATTGCTTTTGCGCTTCCTTGAAAATTTTGCTGGCATTTTAATTGATGCTTGTTTTTCCAAAGCAAATACTGTTCATCTCCTGATTTTAACCCTACCTCGCATCCCTGGCAATAGTTGCTGAGGACTTGGTAATCTAAGACGAAACCTGTCTTACAGTCAATAACCACACCAACACCAAAATGGGAAGAATGACCCCTTTTATGCCAGGTCCCATCAAATGAAATCGTAGTTGCTGGCACTCTTGTTTGACCAGGATTTATAACTGTAGACGTTTCTGAAACAATCTTCGCAGCCGTTTTCATGCATTTTTCGGCTTCCTGGGTTGCAGCTGCGTGTATCTTTTGGGATGTTTCCTGGTAGGTTTTATGATGCAACGGCTTGTTTATGTTTAAAATTGAAAAAAAATTGTTAAGTCCTTCATATCCAAGCCCACACTCTTTACTAGCTAAAACAAGTCGCTTTCCTCCCGGGGAAGAGCCTCCTACAAAAATGTCCTCCTCACACACAGAGCACGAAACTATAATCCTCCACATAAGTCCACCTTTGTAATCAGAACAAACTGACAAACTGCAGCTCTTACATCGTGGGCATGCAAGCAGTGTAATAATTTCAGTTAGAAATGACCAATGAAAAAGTGCATATCCCTCATTGTCGCCTACTTTTGTAACTTTCCTCATTAGTGAAATTTTTTTTCTGGAATGGGATCAGGAGCACGTTCATCCTCATCCAAAATTTCCTCTTCACTACTGTCGTTATCACTTTCACTTGATGTTCCATCACTATACCTGAAGATCCCACTACCTAAACTACTAGGCCCAGCTATATTCGTACCGTACTGTGCTGTGTCCGAGAAAGTCAATGTCGTGGCAGAAGGCTGTGGTGATTGTTGAGACATTGAGGTTAGGGCATCAACACATACAGGAAGAATGTCCAACGAACCATTTTTCGAGCAGGATGATTGTTGAAAAAGGGGCAGTGATGAAACAGTACTTTCACCTCGTTGGTGAGACACGCTTGCATCAGCATCCGCGAAGGCTGCTGGGGGAGGAAGTATGAGGCTGGAACAAAACAATGTAAGGCATTATAACTTGTTCACTTTCGTCTGACCGCCGTTGAAACAAAACAAAATGAAAACGCTCAGTTTAATCTTCTCAGATCATTGCATACGAGTCTAAAAGTTGGATGACCAACAGAATCTAAAAGCCCATTTATAAAGGTCACTGCAAACTAAGGTTCCGACACGTTTTTTTTTATGTAAGCCTAAAGCGGGTCAAAAATATAATAAGGGATATACAGCATACTCCTTAAGCATAAAAATTGTCATAATATTTTCTCGAACACCACAGTTCAACGTTCGCCTAAGAAACGCGATTCAAGAGACGGCGAGAGTAATTTTTGAGACTCACGTGAAGCACGTGGAGACGTCCAGACAGTTGGGGGATAAAATCTACAAGCTTGCACTGAAATGTGGGGACAGGGCGATGTCGCTGTCTCAAAATGAGCAATGTGTATGTTAGGTTGCTGTAACTGTAAGTCATTTATTTTAGTGATCCTGTCTATGCATCAATAAGAGTGGTTTTTAATATAGGGCCCAAAGTGAAAAACTTTTTTTATTACTGGCTCAAGATTTTTTTAACAAAAAAATTGTTTGGCCACTGGCCTGCAGAAGTGCCATGCAAAGTTTCGTGGGCATAAGTAAATTAGTAAATGAGATAGAATTTGTTAAAACAAGCTATAGAGATAGTTCTGTACAAAATCTGTATTATACGGAAACAGGCAAAATTATGTTGGAACAGAAGAAAATAAGGCAGACAGGAGAAAATAAAACAATAAGGAGTCACTCAGATATTGAAACCAAGCGATAGTATTGAAAGCTGTAATTCACAGCTGTCGTTTGCACTTTCAATTGCAAGGAAGGAAAAAGATAATTGCAGTATCAACCCTGTTTCTACATGTATACATTATCAACTGGGAAATAGCAAGGATGAAAGAACCAATGACTGACCCTCGGAAAACACATCACAAACACACATAGACAGACACACAGACACGCACACACAGATAGACAAACACACACACACACACACAAACGCACACACTCACAAATATACTCACACACACAAACAGACATAGAAAATCTAGAGAGAGAGATAGATCGATAGAGAGAGAGGTAGATAGATAGAGATAGATAGATAGATAGGTAGATAGAGAGTGTGAGAGAGAGAGAGAAAGAGAAAGAGAGAGAGAGAGACAGAGAGAGAGAGAGAGAGAGAGAGAGAGAGAGTGAGAGAGAGAGACAGAGACAGAGACAGAGCTTTGGATGTGATACATCGTTCCACTTACTTTTCATCTACATTGGTATTGTCACACTCAGCATGCCGTCGCACATCATTGTCGACACTGCTGTTTCTCTGGTTCACTCAAAGTAGATTAAACTTCTCAGCCTGTTGACCTTCTAGAATCTAGTCGCTTTCTTCCACCTTTGCGCCTTCTTGGTGTATGACGGCGACTCTGATACTTCTCGGATCGTTTTCCTGCCATGTTTATCAACGCGCAACTCAAAATTTTCCGTAGATTTTCAACAACAAAAATCAAACTGCGGGATGCTTTTTGCAATTATTAACGTATTCTTTAGAGCGGAAGTTTTCGCAACTTTTTTGCATTCTCTGTTAGTGCTATTGGGTGCAACGTCAGCTTTTTCCATCTACAACCTCAAATATATTTTATTTATTATTCCGCCAGCTTGGTGTTTTAGGGTAAAACGTCATTTTTTTGCGTGCAGGAAAGGGGGGGGGGTGTCATCTTTGTGAGCGTTTTTGAACATGTTCTGATGCTGACAGGGACATAAGACCTTCATTTTGTGAAAGTAGACATTTCAAAGTACTCGAATCCGTTAAAAGCCCAATTTCGATCTAAGACTAAAAAATGACGTCATTTGATCATGGCCTTCCCCCGCATCATGCCTTAAATTAGTTAAAAATTTCCCTAACCATTTCAATCTTCGAAGTCAAAGACCTGATGTTGTGTCTTCTGATCACCTCACCTGTAAATCCTGGTATGTTTTGTCTTTTTGAACATTCACTTAAGGTGTTATACCTAAAAAAAATTCTGAAGAAATTGCCCAATGGACAGAAGAAAATGTTGGTTCCTTTGATTTAATCATCGCCTAATTTCTCCACAATATTGTTTTATTTCTGTTCTTTGATTCTACTTTTATTTTTTTGCTGAAATATTAATTTTGTGGGTTAAATTCTTGGATTGCATTTTAATTTGTGATTTTGTTTTGGCTAAGAGTCTAAATTTTACTTTATTTTTTCCTCAGTTGGACTTCTTTAGTGAAGTGGACATGATGAAGGGGCTGAGTCACCAAAACATTGTGCAGCTATGGGGGGTGTGCACCAGGAAAGAGCCGATGTACGCAGTCATGGAGTTTCTCCTTCACGGTCAGTCTTCGTTTCTTTAGTAAGAGTTTTACTGTGATCACAGATCTACTACATACTCTGATAAAATCGAAACCGTCAAATTTTTTGGGGGTGCCTGATGTAGATCCCTAATTGGATTTGCATAAAACCTGTCTCTTAAGTTATTTGATATTTTGGAGGTTTAAAGCTTTTTTCAGCTTGATTATTTTACTCTGAGAGTAAAGCAGTGAATTTGCGATGTAGAGCATTATGTTCACTTCGTTTAACATTTGAAGGATTTTTTTTCTTTCTAAGCCCTTTCCTATTGAGATATCAAAGGACTTCCCTTCTCTTTTTCAGGCTTTCCCCATTGACACAAAACACCCTGGTTATGTTGAAGAACTGTTCTCTTTCTCTCTTTATGCTACAGGTGACCTGAAGACTTACCTCCTGTCTCGCCGCAGCCTGGTGGGTCAGGGAGTGAAGGAGGCGGAGGACGTGAAAGCTGCCAACCTCACGCAGATGGCCGTCGACGTCGCTCTAGGGCTCGGCTACCTGCACTCTCTCAAGTTTGTGCACAGGTATTTGTTGAGTTTTGATAATATTGATAGTAACCTAATGATGATGATGATAATAATAGTAATGGTAAGAACAAGAAGAAGAAGAAGAAAAAGAAGAAGAAGAAGAAGAATGGTGATAATATTAAGAATAGTATGCCTAATAATAATAATAATAATGTAAATAAGGATAATGAAAATGATAGTAATAATAATATTGGTAGCAGTAAGGATAGTAATAATAATAACAATGATAATAATAATAGTAATAATATTAATAGTGATAAAAAGAATGATAGTAATAATAATAATAAAAATGATAGTAATTCTATTGTGCCATGTTCATCATCATCATCTTCATAAACATCTTCATCGTCACAGTGTTCATTATTGTCAACAATATTATTGTTCTAGTAAAATGTGGGAGCTTCCCAGTGTGTTGTAACAGAAAACTCTAGTTCTAGAAAATTGTTTATAGCAACTGCTCATTGCAAGACTCTGTCAGATGTCACTTTTCAAAGTCTTACCTGTGGGTGGTTGGCGGGTGCTTGCTCTGGTGTGGTTTGCTTCTTCCTTAATCCTATCAAACATCTATCGTCCTTATCTCCCCCTCCTTCTTTTTTATGTTTGTTACTCTCTTGCAACACCTCTAATCTTCTGGTGCTCATATGACCTTATGCAGTAGTTGCGAGCACTGTAAAACCTCTACTAAAACTAAAAAAACTAAAAGTCTTACCCTGGGCAGTCAATATGCCAGGCTTGCTGACAAAATGAGTTACTTCTTGCAATCCACAAATGGAGATATTGGCCAAAAACCGACACGAGGGTCAAATTTGTAGAGTTTTTATTTATGGCATATTCTGAAGTATAAAGTGCCTTTTATTATTTCTTACTTATAAATTGTTGAATGTTCACCTCACCTATAAGCAGGATGTATCTATTTCCATAGGGCTCGAATTGAGAAGTAAGTCATTTTGTCAGCACACTTCACATACATATGTTCCTTCCATTCAGTCAGACACTAAAACCAATAACAGTGTTTCCACTGAGCATAAAAGACTTTCTCTTCTTCTTTTCCCTAAGGGACTTGGCCTGCCGTAACTGTTTGGTGCACGCCAACAAAACGGTGAAGATTGGAGACTTTGGCATGACCCGACATGTATCCAGCACAGACTACTATCGCTTTAGTCGGAGAGGTAACACGTTTTACCATCGTAGTCATTTCCATCCCCATTACCTTCATCATCATTATCATCCATCACCTTCACCATTATCATCACCATCACTTTCACCATTATCATCCCAATCACCTTCACCATTATCATCACCATCATTTTCATCATTATCATCACCATCACCTTCATCATTATAATTTTCATCATCAGCAGCAGCAGCAACAAAAGCAGGGTAATCTCTACCAAAAACTCGTCTGGAGTGTATGTCTCAATTGTGTGTCAGCTCCGCAGGGTCTATACAAGAGAAAGTTAACAAGATTATCCCATCCTATCCTCATCATAATTTTGTAGTTTTTCTTTTTTCTAATATTTTTTTTTTACAATATGTATCATGCAGTTGCTTGGCTTGTATCATAGCTACTCTATGTGATGGTTATTTTTGGTCAGATTACAGTTATATATGTGTCACGACGCGGTGGAATCAGGCGCTCGTCAATTTTTGGGCATGTGGAGTTATTGGTATCATTTTAAAGTTTGTTGATTTGTCTTGCTTTGGATGTTAAAAATATCCATTTATCTTGAATAGAAGTCGAAATATTTGCGAATGAAGGAGGTGGGGTCGCCTGGTTTCAGAGGTAAAATTAGTGAGGAAGTGGCCGCCAAAGTTTGGTTATTTACAAAGGCTCAGAGTCCATGAAAACTGACAATTTACATTTTTTATGCCTTTAATCAAAGTTTTTCAATGTAATTCACACTGAAATAGGTTCTAAAATGGACTTAAAAGGTGTTGGGAAAAAAACAAAATTACGATAAAAATTGCCAAACCAGTGGAAAAGTGTATGTTTCTTCAGTTTCATTTTTTTGACGAGCGCCTGATTTCACCACGATGACTCACATATATGTATTTGAAAGAAATATTGTTCATTGAATTAACAAGTATGCATGAACGTAGAATTGAATTTTATTTTATTGTGAAGCCGACTAGAGCTATCAGGGAGTTGGTGCTATGGAGGTGACCTGTTTAATAATTATTATCATTGTTACTATTATTATTAATTATAATAATAATAGTAATAGGTAACATTTGTGCAAAT